GAATGCAGTTCTAAATTCAGGCAAATAAGGAGACCTGCCCTTCAAAAAAAGCAAATCAAGATGTGTCCTGTTGGGTTTATATCTATCCCCATCCCCCAGTATAGCTGTTATTTTAAAGACGGGGAAAATAAAAGAAAGAAAAAATTTTTTTATCAGCCTTCCCCTTTCTTTCATCTCCTCCCTCCCTCCTGCTGTGCAAGACAAACTGTCATGGGCTGTTTTGTCATTGTGGCCTTGAGCTGCAGCCTCACCTTTGAATTTTTCAGTTTTTTGATAATAATAATAATAAAAAAAAAAAAGGACAGGGTTTTCTGTTTTGGTTTTTTGTTTTTGGTTTGTTTGGGTTTTTTTTGGTTTGGGGTTTTTTTTGTTGTTGTTGTTTATTTGTTTTTGGGGATTTTTGTTGTTGTTTTTCTCTAGCAAGAGACTGGATGGCTCCTGGAACCTCCTTTGCATCATTAGAGGCAAAAACTATGTAGCGGTTTCTTAAATAAAAGTATAAGCTGTGTCTTGTACCTCTTTTTGCCCTGAGCCACCCTCCCAGGAAAGCCAGAGCGACTGGATGGAAACTTCATCTGTCCCTCCCCACTTTTTTTAAAACAAAGGCCCTCGAGGCAACTCCTGGTCCTTCTTGTCCTACACCAGTGCGTTGAATGTTCTAGGATTTTCATTTCTTTATAGCCCTTCCTCCACCTAATAAAGATCTGAGCATATCACTGGTGTTTGTCTGCATTTTCAAAGGCTCCAGGAGGAGTGTTACAGCCCGTCCCTTTCCACCTGCTCCTGCAAAAGGAGCTGAGCTGGGAGGGTAAGAGCAGCAGGTGGGTCTGACCAAGGTGAGTTCCCTCGAGGGCCGGGAGCTCTCAGGCAGCAGCAGCAGGGATGGGATCAGGGCAGCACCCTGACTCCCTCCAGCAACATTGTCTCTGCCCTTGGAGTCTTCTGGGGTGGTGCTGTGAGTCCCTGTGGAGCAGCTGGGATGGAGAGGGAGCAGAGCTGCAGCATTGCCCTCCCTTGCTTTGCCCACGAGGTCCATGGGCTGCACTGGGAGGAAGGGCAGTGGTTCTCAGGATAGAAACTATTTTTCTTGTGGATCTTGAGGGGAAAAAAGATCCCTTGCCTGTTGTGTGCTACATATTTACCCACTTCCTCTGCTGTCCTGGCCTTCCTCTGCCCTGGCTCGGGTTTTGACACTGGTTGAACTCCAGCAGCTGCTGCAAGCTCTTGGCAGCTGCTGTCCCACTGCCACCAACTTAGGGATGTCAAGGAGGGCAAGGATGTGTCTGCAAGCTGGGGCCTGTCAGTTTCTACAAGGGCTGTACAAGCAGCTGTGGCCTTACAGCAACAGCACCTCATTTACCCATGGTCTGAGCTGCTGCCTCACAGGAGTTCTTCTTCACAAAAACCCCCCAGAGCTACCTTCACACACTTGAGTTCTTGTTTATAGATATCTGGTGCTGCCCTGCAGGTGTAGCTCAGTCCTTCTGTGTGTGTCAGGGTCCAGAAGTAGCTGGAGCTGGGGAAAGGCAGCAGGTGCCAGTTGGTGCCAGCCCACAGCAGCCCCTGAGCCTTGGATTCCTGGCAGAGCCGCTGCAAAGACTCCTGCCAGTGCTTCTCCACTGACCCCAGCCAGGCAACTTCCATCCTCAGCGTGGCTGTGAGCACAGAAAGGGCAGCACACTGACTGTGCTGTCCTGCAGCACCCTCCTCCTCCCCAGCACCCAGCAGCCAAGGCAGCTCCAGCACCTTCCCAGCTGCTCTGAGGTCCTGCCCACAGGCAGTGTCGCAGTCAGCCACATGTAGGCTCCTCTGCTTTCCTTGTGAGACTCAACAAGGTGTTCTGCCCTTTCCCTACACTGTCAGTTCCTGCAGGACTCTGCAGCAATTTCCCCTCTAAGCCCAGTTCGAGGCACTGATGGCAGAGTCGAGGTAGCCCAGCTGCACTTGGCTGTCAAGGAAGGGCAGGGGAACCCCCCCTCAATGCTCGAGAGGCAGATGAGTTTGCCAGATGGGCTGGAGCTGGAGGGAGCAGCCCCTGGCAGTTCTGGGTAGCCCAGTGCTGGAGAGCCAGGCAGGAGATATAAACAAGCCAGCTCCCAGACAGCACCATCCCTCTGTGTCCCATTCCCCAGTATGGAGACTCTTTTGGGAAGGCAGCTCCAAAATGCCACCACCATTCTTCCAGCACAGCTGTGCAGCCAAAGCAGTTGGCCCCAACTACATTTGACTGGGCAGTTGCTGCACTGCCATCGATGCCAAGTGCAGCCAGTGCAATTCCCTGATGTTTGTCCCACTAATTTTAGCCCAACTGCAGCACTGAGGCACAGCAAACACACTTCTCCTCTCCCGAGCCTGCAGGGAACAGCGTGGGCCAGGCAGGGCCAGCAGCCATGACCTCAATTTCTCTGCCAGGCTTCTGCACGAGGCCAAAGCCATTCCCTGCCCCAGCAGTGGAGGTCCCTGCTGCCGTGTCTGATCCTTTCAGGAGTGCTGAGCTCCTGCCCTGCCAGAGCACCGACCACCAGCAGCACCACGGCCTCATGGCAGCAGCTCTGACCTGTGTCCTGCTTCCCTGCTCCAGTCACGAATCCATGAATCAACTTCTCACTGGTCTCCCCCTTCCTGACTTAGGGAGACTAAATACAACAGCAAAGCCCGTGGCCTTTTCCCAAAGTCTTCCTCTAAATCAGCTTGTTCTTCAGTCTTAGGTGTGGGCAGCTGTCAAACAGTGGCTTTATTTCCCAGTAACCTCACAGATTTTTGTGTATGGGTGTATGCATTGATACCAGAGCAGCACTGAGCTTGTCATTCAAAGCTCTTGAATAACCCAAGCAACGCAACCAGGGAAGTAACAGTACAGAGATATTTTCATTTCACATTTTTATTAGTAGACAGATGTGCAGAAAAGACAAAATATAACTACTGAAGGGAAAGACAACACAAAAATGCATCAGTTAATTCTTTCTGGTAAATTATACTGAAGAAAAAAAGGAAAACATCTGGGAGTTCAGCTAAGAAAACTACTAAGAAATCTAGTGTACCCTGCTGGTTTCAGAATGGTTGAAAACTGCATTTGAAGGGACTTGTAAGTTGCAAATGTAAACGCTAATATTGGCTGAAACAGGAGAAAAAGGGTTAAGAAAAAAACCAGAATACACAGAGTAGGTAAACATTTTTCTGCAATCATCTCTTAAATAGTTTCAAAAAAATCCCCTCATACTTCAGTTGTATCTGAAAAAAAGGAAACCAGCAAGTCAACAAGCAATGACACTGCACAAGACAGTGGGGAAGAGAAATTAGTCTGGTTATTGTCGGAGCGCTCAAAAGAGGTTGCTTTCTTGTCTTTAAAAAAGGGTAAAACAAGAGTCATAATAATGCATCTTACAACACCAAGCTTGGAAATACAAGTCACTGGAGAGTATACAGTGAAGACGGTCAAAAGTACAAGGGAAATCCTGAAAGATGCAGTATCCTCATTTCCAACCCAGCCATCAGCACAGCCAGCATTGCCACACTCTGCTCCTTCACTGCCCTCAGCCACCTGAAAGCTGAAGGTTGGTGCCCCTGTCCCGGGGTGGCCCTTTTGCCACCCCCGGTGCCACCCTTGCAGGGCTGCTGTGAGGCTGGGGGTGCCCCACACTCAGTGGCTGCAGGGGAGCCCCACTGCCGGCTCCAAAAAGCACCTGGGGCTGAGTCAGTCCTTGCTGGAAGGTGCAACTGAAGGAGCAGGACACCTCAGGAGGGTGCAGCTGCCTTTCCAGGTAACATGCAAGTAGGAGGGCAGAGGGACATGGGAAGCAGCAGGGACAAAGAATCACCACTTGGGCTGCCTCCACTCCCTGGGGGCAATCGGATGCACATCCCCGGGCTGGGGCTGTCCCTGCTGCAGCAAACCCCTGCCAAGCAACACTGAAAACAGATCTGCCTTGCTCATTTCACAGGGAACCCCACAGGCCTTCCTCCCCTCCCCGAGGGCTGCCTTCCCCTCCTCTCCCTCCAGGCAGCACACTCGGAACTTGCTCAGTCTTGCCTAGAGCACAGCTGATCCCAAACAAAGCCTGATCCCACCGAAGCACCCCCCGGAGAGGCCCCAGCTGGTGACGTACCATGGAAAACCCTGAGATACATGGAAGAGAGGAGCAGGCCCTGGCCATGGTGACACCTCTGTACCTGTGGGGACCGAGGGTCTCACCAAAGAGGGGCAGCACCCCTGAGCTGCTCTGGGGCTGCCAGGGCTGGCAGCCCATCCAGGGATCATGCACAAGGTGAACTCGGGGCACTGCACCATGGCCAAAATGAAGAGCTGCAACACAGTCAGGGTGCTGAGGGACTGGGGACGAGGGTTCTGAGACAGGAACATGCATGATTTGATCCCCCTGCCCACGATGGAGGGCCCTAAGCTCTGCCAAGAGCTCCCAGAAACGTGCGGGAGGGCGAGCTCAGGGCCCCAGCTGAACGAAGCATGATGCTGAAGACAGACCCTGCTGCTGGCCTTCCCTTCCAGCCTAAAAGTCCCCCTCTCTCCTGGGGGGCTGCACATGTTTGCCTGTGCCCCAGCCAGGCGGGCAAAGGAGAGCCCAGCACCACCCACCCTCTGCCCTGGGGGGCACTGGGACAGCCTGGACACCCCAGGCAGGCAACAAGGGGAGCTCCAACCTCTGCCAGCCCCACAGAGCCCAGGGGCTGCAGCAGAGCTGCACTGACCCACAGGGGACCTACATAAGCAACAGAAAGCTGCGCAGGGCTGGGGCTGCAGGAAGCAAGGGCTGCTAGAGTGAGCACTGGGGCAGGAGGCTACTGGTCTCTCCTACTGCCAAAAAAGAAGTTCAGGATGAATGGTGGCCCATGGGGCAGCAGGATTCACATCTGTTCTCATCCCTGCAGAGAGGGGCAGCTGGCAGCAGATGCCAGCAGAACAGCTAAACTGAACTTCTGCAACCCTATCCTAGTCTGAAAAAAGAACAATGAAAAAAAATAAATAGCAACCCAGGGCTCAGTTGTACAGATGTGAAGTGTTAAGTGTTTATTTTAGGGTTCATCTCACAAGCCTTTTCCAGAGACAAAGCTGATTGTGCCCTCTGGGGCTCCAGGGGCCAGCTATTTCCTAACTTAGCAGGCTGAAAAGGAATACTGTACCTTTCAGTGACATCCCATCAAGCTCAACACACAGTAGCTTTACACTCTCCGCCCCACACCTCATAAAGGAAAAGCCACCACCACAAGGCTAAACGAATGTACACACGCTATTATTGTAAATGGAGCAGCTAAACCTTGGCAATTTGCTTCGTGGGGATTTTTTTTTCTTCCCAGTAAATGCAGCACTTGAGCTCCTGAAAACCCGGCTTCCAATGGGTTTGTTCCAGCTTTAAATACATTAAACATCTCAATGCAAGACTGTATTTAATTCAAGAATCTAAACGCGAGCAAACCTGTTTTGCTGTGAGCGTTTTGTAGAGAAGTGAAAAGGGGAGTTTCTTTTTTAAAAAGAAATCTTAATACAGTGATGAAAGGGTTAAGAATGCAAGAATTCAGACATTCTGTGGAGGGTCTCTAAGAGGTCCATAAAAAAGGAGCAAACAGATCCATACAACAGGAGACAGCAGGAGACAAAGTTTTGTGTTGGGTTTTTTTTTTGTTTGTTTGTTTTTCTTTTTTTTCATTTTTTTTTTGACACCCCCCCCCCCCTTTTTCCCCCCCCCCCCCACTTTTTTTGCTGGACTGCTGCTAGGTTACCGCTGCTCCCTTCTGGCCTGAGTCGGCAGGGCAGTACAGGGGCATAGAGGGAGCAGGTCACGACTCCTCGTTGCCAGAATCATCATCATCGTAACAGTCGGCGTCCTCCTCCTCCTCGTCCTCGTCGTCAATGTCGTCATCGTACAAGTCGTCGTAAAGCAAATCTGAACTGTTGTCATTGGAAGGCACTTTAGTTTTGATGCAGTACTCTGCCAGTGTAGTGGGGACCTTCACGCCATCCTTCTCAGCCTCAGCTTTGGTAGCCAAAACCTGTTTCCTGTGGGGAGAAGGACACAGCGGGAACGTGAGCAGGGCCGTGTGCCAGCAGCAACTCGGCTCAACTCCCACCTCCCGGCCAGCCCCCAGCCCAGCCCTCCTGGCAGCTCAGAGTCAGGAGATTGGAGGTTTGGATAAAGCACCACAAACAGCACTGGAAACAGATTTAGTTCCTGCAGTCCCAGCCTTGGGAACATGCCAAGGGTGTTTGCAGCAACATCTGAAATCTGTTATTTCACAGGACTCTACATAAGAGACCTGCCAGAGCTCAGAGCAAATTCCATTTGCTACAGGAGGAATGGTCAGGGATTTCCTATGATGATTTATTGACTCCACCCTGACAGCTCTACCCCTGTGTGCTCAGAACTGCAATTCCCACAACTGCTTTGGCAGCTCTGAGCTCCAGAGCAGTCGGAGCGCGTGGCTGCACCCCAAGGCACAGTTGTAACCCCAGTGCTGCCTGGGGCTGGCAGAAGCCAAGTGTTTCCCATCCCCCCAGGACAGGCTCTGGCTGCTACCTCCCAGCAGGGAGGAGCAGATGGCAGCCTCGTCCCCTCACCCACCCGCCTGCTCCTCAGTCTGCCATTCCGTGTGCATGGAACACATCCAGCTTCGCTGATGCTGAGGGAGCTGGAGGGCTGAACCTCCCAGCTCGGCTCTCTGCACAGACACACTGCCCTGCCAGCTCCAAAAGGGGCACATCCTGCTGGCACAGCTAGCACAGATGTGGCCTCAGCCAGCAGTCCCTCTCTGGGTTCTGCAGCAGCCCTGGCTCACACTCACATCATCTCCCTGCGGCTCCTGATGACCCATGAACTTCTCAAGGGGCAGCACTGAGCAGTGCTTCCAGCTAATGAAACCCAGCTTTGCAAGGCCTTGCCAAATCCCACTGATAGTCCTTCAAATTGGAGGGACATGATTACGATTCATGCATGTATTAAGCACAGGAATTAGTAGGATGCAGTCAGTTTCCACCACATCCCAAGCAATGCAGGGCTCAAAAGGCAAGCAGGGACTCCGACTGGGATTTACTAGTAGCCAATAGGTTTTGCAGAGCATCATGACAGATTAGTCTGAGAAAAGGACCATTTAAAGACATATTAGCCCAGTCCTCCTGCTCCAGAAGTTTGCGCTGCTTCTGTGCACTGAAAACTCTGGAGCAACCCGACGCATGGACTTGGAATAAGATGATAAAATTCATTTCCAAAGAAACAACTACTGCAAGAAACCGGTTTCAGCAAATTCTGGAAGCACCCTGTTTCACAGGATTCAACACAGGAGGCTGGTAGCACAGCATCCCACATGGAAAAGCTTACCTTATGATTTCGGCGTACTCCTTGTCTTTTCCTTTACTGTCCCTCCATTTCCTGAACATGACTGATGCATCCACGTTGGCTGGGGAGAATGTGTTGGGCTCATTAAGCAAAGAGATTACACTCAGTAAGATAGTCCTGAAAGAGGTAACCACAACAGCAGAGTCAGAGCTAACGCACTCATGGGTTCTGGATGCCGACGACTTCTCTGGATGATGCATCAAAAACTTGTTTGAAGTCAAGTCTTAAGCTGAGAATAATATTTTAAGTGAGAGCAAGTATTTATGAACCTCACACCCTGGCCATCCATGAGGAAAGGTGACACAATATAAACCTCATGTGACTGCAGTTTAATGTGTCTGTGCACGTGTTTGTGACAGGGCAGCAGGCAAAGCTGCAGCCAGAGCAGAATTCAGCTTGTCCACACCACTCACAGATGGTGTGGGGCTGGAAACCTGCTCAGTGAGCCTGTTCCTGCTGGCATGCAGCTTCCCAGCAGGAAGCCAGGCTGTTTGCCTGCCCTGCACAGAAAGAAGAACCATTAGGATCCAAGGCCATCAGAAAAGGCTGCACTGCTTTGTCCCTGCCCCACTGGGTGGTAAGAGGTTGAAACCGTGGGCAGGTCTCTTCTCTCCTCAGCTGATACATCACTAAAAAAGCTGCAGCAGCAGCAGCACTCGAGCACAGCAAGGGGAAGGCAGTGCAGATGTTTTTCAACACCCAGGCCAGCTGCCAAGGCCCAGAGGGATTCAGCTGCTGGTGCTTGGCAAAGCCAGCATGAGCCAGTCATGCAACCTCAGCAGACAGACAGCCTTCCAGGATTTCCAGCAGCGACCCACACCTCGCCAGCTGCCCTGCTCTGCTGGCATTTACCAGGGGCAAACACCACCCTCTTGCCTAAACCCTTCTCTTGTAGTTCCTACAACCCTCTGCACTTCAGCCCTTGTGCCACAACCAGCACAAACATGAACAGCGAGCCCCGCCAGGCAGCTCCGCACACCTGGACACTGCAACAGCTCCACCTGTCCCAGTGGTACTGCCAGCAACAGCTTCCCATCCAAGGGCAGGGAAGAACAAGAGACAAGGAGAAAGTCCTGAAACACAGCAGTACACAACAGCCCCTTTGCAGAACTTGGTTAAAGGACACTTGGAGCCACAGTTGTATTTGCACTGATTGAGGGGCATGCTCGGAGCAGCACGTGCTGAGTGAATCTACCAGATCATAAATCTGGGATGCAGTTCCAGGAAATGCTTGGTCATTTTCTTTTTCTCATTCTTTTTCATTTTCTTTTTCTCATTCATTGCTGATTTTCTTGAAAGGTTTTGAAACTAAACACTTGTGTCTGACCAGACTAGCATGGCTATCAGAAGAGTCTTACACAATTTATTTTCCAAATTATGTAACTCTGTAGGAAAAGAGATCTGCAGCTCCGGAAAAAAACCTGTCTGGTCAGACTGGAACAATGGGCAGAAGAGATCATCTTCTACTTCATCTCAAGAATTCATTTAGAAGCCTTTGATTCTCAGCAAAGAGGCTGCAAAGCCACCATGTCAGCTCCAGCATCGTGCAGCGGCTTTACTGTAGAGCAAAGTCGATGGAAGGCCAAGGACAAGAATTCATGTCTGGATTTAGCATCTGCTCTCCCACACTTCCATCAACAGTGAGGAGAAGCCAATATTTCCACTGCAGTGCCCAGACTCCAAAGTCACTGCAAAGCTACTTAAATACAGCAAGGCAACTGCATTAGAGGTGAAGCTCTCTGAGCTCCACATTCCCAACCAGCACATCAGATCAGCACCATCACTGCTGATGTCCTAAAGATTAGACAGTCTTGTCCAACTCAAACCTGGCTGCTGTGGATAAGCAAGGGGAATAAAGTACAGTAACAGAAAGGCATCCTAGCACAGGGAGTCTGACAGGACAAAGCCATTAAAAAAGTTCAACCACGTGGGACTGAAAACCTCAGCATCAGGTACAAACTGCATGGACTGGACGCAGGCTGAGGCTCTGGGATGATGCCAGGGATCACATTCTATCATGTTGTTTCATGCAAGCTGACAGAGTAAAGACTGGTGATTTCAAGGCTGGTTCTGCTTCCTTACATCCCCCACCCCATTCTGGGGAACACTGAAGTGTTTTGAAGAGTTTACAGTGCTGTTGTCTTCAGAGGAGACTCTATACATCTCTTTACCACTAGGGAAGAGCAGCCAGCACAGGCTCAAGGAAACAGACCTGTTAAGGGCCTTTTCCTCTTCACATATCAACCAAAGGCTCAGAGACAGAGGGATTTCATCCCAAACAGACATGAGGTAGATAGGATGTGTTGGTTGGGAGCACCAGCCAATTATATTCCTTGTTGAAAAAGGATTTTTTTTTTTGTTCCAGCTGCTATCCACATTGTAGCCTCTCAGAGCCACCTTTAGAGGTGGGCATAGATTTGTCCTTGCACATTTTTGCTCTCCACTGTAAGTTAAAAGTTTTGGCTTAGGTTGTACTGATGGTTACGTTAGTGCTCTGAGCTTTTTGCAGAGTCTTCCCCAACCTCAGGCAGCCAAAAAAGCCAAGAAAAATGGGAATCCTTGGGAAACAAAGCAATAGCGAGACAGGATATCATCTATCTGCACGAGATACAGATGTACCAACTTCTCACATGCTGTGCTGAGTTCTGGCCTGTGCAGCTCAAGGACAGGGAAGACACAGGGGAGATGGAGAAGGGTAAACAGAATTATCAAAAAGCCTCAACTGTAAGCCCTGACAACACTCCCTCAGCTCCATGGGACACAGGGAGCAGTTTTCTCTGCCACACAGATTACAGCTGCATTCCTTAACATCTTGCTGGGTGTTTGCTGTATTTATATTTACTCATGCCTGCCTCACCTATCTCCCAGTGATGGGAAAGTCCATACTTGACTGTGTTTAAAAAAAACAATGAGCCTCCTTGACACCCTTAGAGGTGGAAGCACAAGTGCTCTCAAAGTTGAAGAATGACATTTTTCCCCTTTCAAAAACTTCAACCCTGGTCATCTCTGGCAAACAAACACTAGAATGCCTCTGGTACTCAGTGATCCTTTGTTCTTTTGGCAGGAAGAAAACTACCCAACTAACTGCTCAAGATACCAGTAGCAGGACAGGAGACAGACAAACAACAGAAGGCAAACAAAAGGCTTCTACTGGGCCTAAATATGCAAAAATGTATTTTTCCATTAGTGGTATCCTGAAGAAGATAACAATGACTGGGAAAGGCCAGAACATTTGAAATAATTTGCCTTAAGAGCATGAAACCCTGTGAACAGGACAGAAGGTTCCACACTGCCAGCTCAGTATCAGGACACAGAGCACCTTCGGTACCTTCAGACAGCCTGGTAAGTCTGGTTTCCACTTGATTCAAGCCTTAAAACCCCAAAGCCTTAAATTCCCTTCTAAGCCTCTCCCAACCTAGACCTTAGTCTTGTAGAGACAACAGGCCTTTTGAAGTCAGTGTTTCACATCATATTCACAGTTACCTGACATTTTGGGTAGGGTTCCACCTCTCAGATGGCAGCTCTCCACTTTGTGGGTCATCTACAGGTGGGTGAAGAATTGAAATACATACATCTCCATTCTGCAAGACAGAAAAAAGCACTGAGAATAGCCTGGCTTGAGGCTGAAGTCTGGTGATTCAACTCCACCACTCTGGCTACCTCTGGAGCAGTTTAACCTTGTTGATATGAACACCCAAAAAAACCCCAACCAACCCCAAACCCAAACTGGTAAGAACTGGAAGTGGTTCTCCATTCATCCTGGATCTACTTTATTTATACACAAGGGTTAGTCTGCAAATTGGCAAAAAAACCAACCTAAAGTCAGAGACAGTCAGGTTTAAAGAATGTAGCAAAGCAAGCAAAAATAGTAATAAGACAGCATAAAACTAAATTGGTCTCCAGATAGCAAGTACTGTCATAGTGACAGAAATAAGCTTTAGTCACAGGAGACCCAAAGTAGGGTTAAAAAAATCTGGTGTTCCCAGTGGTAGCTGAGTTAGCTACAGGAATTTTTGAATTGAAGGGTTTATCACTCTCTACTAGCTCAGGTATGAAAACATTTGTTCTCCCAGGACACAAGGATGTTGAACAGATGGTGTGGGGCAGGCTTACACTGCTCCCCTAGGACACAGCTGTTCAAAATATCAGGTGAAAGAGCAGGAGATGTTCTCTGAAGGTTTCACTGAAAATCCCTTCCAGCATGCAAGAGATTCTGGGAGCATATGGAAGCCATACAGCCACGTAATCCCCATTATGTGTTCTACTCACCACTGTTATGGCCTGAATATAGATTTAAAGCTCCATAATGCCTACCATTTATAAACATTTGAGGAAGCCTGTAAACCCAATTCTCCATCAGCAACAGCCCTCTGACACAATTACTTTGTAGGAATGCTGTGGCATTATCCATCACATCAGATATCCTCCACTAAGGTGCTCCAGGGACTCATGGGGGGGTGATTTACTGCAGGATGGGGTGAAGGTGCAGATGAGTCCTAAGGCCAGCCAGCAGCTATTGGCCTCTCCAGGCCCCACTGGCTTGCTCTCCCTTGCTGCTGGGGTGACGTACAAGTTCCTGGAGGCAGCCCCACACCTTCAGGAGGCACAGCCTGAGCTGAGGAGCAGTGCTCACGCCGCTCCCAGTCACTCCAATCCAAGGCACAGGTTGATGGCAGGATCAGTCCTGTTTAGGAATCCAGGCTGGCAGCTCCCCACACACCCGGCCTCAGGCCCTTCCAGCACTGCTGGAGGGCAGAGCAGGGCTGCTCACAGCAATAGCATCTGTGCCTTTGAGCCCAAGCCAGTGATCGCAGCCACAGACTGCAGCAGCTCACCTGAAGGGCCTCGCAGACATTTCAACTCACCTTGATTAACAATGACTTTTGTTTCATAGCCAAACAAGATCCTCCGTCAGCGTTGGAGGGTTGTGATCAGGATCCAGATTTCAGTGGCGTACTAACCCTGCCAGGTTTGCTAATCTAGCCAGCCCTTGTCACTTTGAAGCAGGTTTTAGTGAAGAACACAGCAATGCAGCACCTGGAGCTGCTGAATACCACAGCACATACTTATGTTGCTGGAACAGTTTGCCATAAGAAGGCAGTCTCCCTTTTAGGACTCCAACAGGCTTGTGCAACCTTGGAATTTTTTTAGTATCATTTTAAGGTGAAGTTAATTTTACCAACGTTAATTTATGTTCCCAGCTCATTACGGTTTTTTTAATAATTTTCTTTAGTTTTTCCTTTAACCACTTCCTGGGAGAACACAATGCTGGTGGCTCAGAGAAGGCATCACAGCACTTGGCAGAAGTTCCTGAAGCGATCAGGTGAGCAGCACATGAACAAGCAGATATTTGGAAATATGAAGATAATAGAGGGAAGCAAGGATATGAGAAGTTTCCCTCTTGCAATGATCAGTGTTATGTGTTTGGGAATTGCACTGCATTAGAGTCTGGAGGGGTAAAGGTGTAAGGGGGCCTGGTGAGATCAGCACAAGGTTTTGGGATCAGGGTAGGAAAGGGGTGAGCCTTTCCCTACATACATTTTTGAAAGACACAAACAAGGAGGATGAGGTATTCATCTGCCAATGGGAAACAGCCACAATTCTATCTAGGACTGAGAACTCTTGTGTCATAAAAATAACAAACAAGTGAATGCAGTTTTACCAAAATTCAACTAGATGACCCAAGTAAAGTAGAGATGGGAAAAATACACCTTACTCAAGTCTCACTGATCAGAACTGGAACATCAGCCCCAACCTCTCCAATCTGATCCCACCAGCAGATTCTGTAAACTGCTGTTTTCTTTCATCTTCCTTACACTAAAAGGGTTTCTTCTTTTCCCTCCTCCTGACAAACCCTCAAACCTCAAGCACTTTGCTGAGTTAGTCTCAGTTTCATTTGGAGTTATCCCAGTGCCTCATCTTCATTGCTTAACTGTTGTTTCCAAAACAGCCTGCAAGCTGCTTCAGATTCCCTCAGCTGCAAGAAATACTGCTACAAACACAAAGAACAAAGCTGAGAACTGGAGTATTTCAAAGGTAAACCCAAAATATACCCATCAAGTTTAGGGTTAGTTTCTCCTCCTACCTTCAGTTGTTTCTAGAGTTTCTAGAGCCAATTTTTCATCTTTCCCACCAGGACTGGGGGAGGTCCTCTCCAAGACTCCTTTTGTACATGTCATTTTGGTAACCATTACCCACTTGCCTCCTGCAGGAGGATTTCTGGATTCAGAATCAATACCCACAGTGTGGGTCTGCAATAATCTGCAGGTCTCTTTATTTACCAATTGAACTCCCATGTAACTGGAAGAGCCTCACAGAAAACAACCATCTTTGGCTACGTGCAAGATTCTGTGCCAAGTCCAAAGTCCAAGTGAGAAAACTCATCTGAGGATGTCCCTGGGCTTAGGGCAATCCCCATGAGCAGTCAACAATTAAAGCTGATTACTATCCTGTTCTGCACTGAAATTTGGCAAGGCTTTTAGCCATTTTTTACTAAGCCATCAGTGTTATCACCATGATACTGGAAGCACACCCATTCCAAACTGGGTATTTAGCAGCAAGAACTGGTCAGAAAAGGGCTTTCCAAGCCCAAGGCATCAACTGAAGCCATCATTTGTTCAGGGGAAGGAAGAGAAGTGACATTCCTCTTTTCAAGTGGGTCCAAAGGATGCCTGCAGAACCTCTCATAGGGACACCTGTGATAAGGTTACAGACCTGCACCAACAGGAACATTTTTGAAAGGCCTCTAGGTCCTCCAACTATTTGACTAGTGTTCCTGGCAGGCTGACACTTGTCTAGGATATCCAAATGTTCAGCAAGGATTCGACTCACTCCACTAAAAGTCCAGTTTTGAACCAACACAGGGCTTCAGCTTTCAAATACAGCTCTACTAAACTGGGTGTTAATACTGAACCAATTGCCTCTGCACAGAACCACTCCCCTTCTGGACCTGTTATGTGGTTGTACCATGACCCAAATATTGACAGTCCACAGCCTTGACTACCCTCTGATTGTGACACACACAGGTAGTGAGTTTAAGATTAAGGAAACAGAAAGCCTTCTCACGTGCCTGAGAAAGAGTTTTTTATAAAACACCTTACCTCATAAATGTTGGGGTGCCACATTTTGGTCAGGAATCTGAAGGTAGGTGGTGAATATGGATAGTCGATAGGGAATTTAATGTGAGCCTGAAAAAAGAGAAAAATATTTTAGTTATGAAACAGAACAAAAAAGAGCAACAAGCAACCATTACAGTGAAAAGATTGGAAAAAAAACCCCACATCATTAGGGCTACTAAACTGCTCATTTTATGGGGGGGAGGGCACGTGGACACTGGTTTATAACCCTACATAGGTTCTTATGAGCAAAATGCTAATTGAAAAAGAAAAATTTAAACACCTGGGCTGGTAATGCTCAGAAAACAAGCCAAAAAAAGGCATTTACCACGTCCTAATTCAAGAAACACTATTAAACAAGTGTTGTTAAACAGGACAAAATATACTGAAAAAGTTATAACTCAAGATACTACTGGGTTTAAAAGCAGGCTAAAAAAAAATGTTTGCTGAGTTGAATAGACCTGTTTTACATTTGGCTGTGCAAATATTTAAAATTATTCTTTCCATGAGGAAAAAAATTTGTTACGTAACTGAAGTTTTTTTGCCTTTCTTGTGCCAAATTTAAGCTGGTCCATCTACCTGTGTTCCTAATATTATGTTTTGTCACCACAGGCATTTTTAAGTCTCAATACTATCTGTGTCTGTTTAACAAATTAGTGCAACTTGATGAACTGAATATTGATGGGCAATGACAGCAAAGATTTCCTTCCAGAGGTCAGCAACCAGCTGTGGGGCACAACTCTGAGCTCAGTCAGCTGAGAGAAGGCTGCAGAGATCCCAGCTCTGGATATTAACTTCTCTGTCTTGCCATTCACAGCAGTCTGAATCTGGACTGAACAAGTGCCCAAAATACTCATCTCTAAAAAGGGGACTTGCTGTGCTTTGGGGCACAAACTCTTCCCTGGGAACTAGTCAATCTGCCAACAAAGTCCCACCACCAACCCAGTGTGGGATCCCCAGAGAAGCTTCTCCTGGTCCCTGTTCCACGGCCAGGCTCATGTGCAACTGAACACGAGAAGAGATCCCAGAAGCAAGATTGTGAAAGCAGAATTCCAGGCCACCCCCTTCCACTTAAGTGCCTAACCATGCCACTTGAGCACAGGGTGCTGGGCTTGTTCAGCAAGACAAAGTTTTATTCCCAGAAACAGAAGTAGACAACGGAACAAACAGATTACTGAGCTGTGAAGTACTTGGCTACAGTTTTACTTATCTGCATACGCCTTTGCATTGCGACCCAAATTTTATATGGGGTCAGAGTGCCAGGCAGCCAAGAAAAGAAGGCTTTCTGTTCACCTTTATGTAAGAAACTCATCAGCTCACGTGGCTGTATGGTCTGTACATGCCTGCCCATGATAGTGACTGTAAGTGGGCATGTTGCAGCAGCACTGAGTCCTCACCCCGCAGTCATTTGCCACAGCACACTCACAACCTAAGTTGTGAGGTTTAAGATCTGCTTAAATCCCAGCCCACAGTTTAAGGTCAGTTGCAGGAATGGCATCGCTCCAAGAGCAGTGAGCAAATGCCTCTTGTCACCACACCACTGCAGAACAGAGCGACTGCTGCAGCAAGGACATGCCTACAACAAGCCACCCTGCACTGGGAGCAGAGCAGAGATTTACCCAGGGCAGAGCACATCCACTCCAGCTCAGGTTATTGCATCATGTAGCTGCAGACTCACTGGGACTACTGGGGTTTTCCCAAGAAAGCCCATTCCTGTGCCTACATGCAGTTTCGTGAGATCTAAGACATAGAACAGCCCATGGACCGAGATTAAAAATGCAAGAGACAACAAAACTCAGGATTGAGCTACCTACAAGATTTCTTGGCAGAATCTGTCTTCTACGCAGGTGTAGTTTCCAGGAGACCAAAACAAAGAGCACTGTGACAGCAGAGTACCAGAACTGACATGCTTATATCCCACATGGATGGTCAAGGAGTGCAGGTCTCATTTCTCTCAGCAAAAACCCTCTGCTCTCAAACTGTCTAACCCTGAGGGTTTTCTCTCAAGAAAGCCTCTCTCAAAGCTGAGCCTGGAGCACCAGTTATGGTCCCTGTATGTGATGCAGACTCATGCAGAAGCTGTGGAGCCTGGAAGACCGTTCCAAACTTCTAAATCCTGTTGTACAGACACAAGTCTTTAGTAGAAGAGACTACCTGCCTACAATAATTATCATGTGGTGTTGTCACATCAAGGATGCTCTTGAGCTCTAGGGCTAGAAAATGCAACTGGAGAAATTAGAGAAATCTTCCCTCACGGATCCAGCTAAGACACTGTAATCCATCACATATTTAGGGAAAGCAGTCACATTATGTGTTGATAAGCTATTTCTAACTAGCCTGTAATTGTTTAGCACATTGAGATGCTGTACTGGAGCATACAGCCAAGTGAAGCTTCTCTACAAACCTGATTTCAGAGCCAAAAGACACCAAAACATGAAACCTCACATTACAGGCTGGGATTTTTTCCAAACAAAAAGAGCACCATTTTCAGTCCCCGTGGTGAGATCATCCAGAATTTGAAAGTGAAACCAGATGCTTTTCCAGGCCATTACAAACAGGTCTGAGAGAATTACTCCACATCTCTTCTGCCAGAGGAAGCATGGAAAGTTATGTAAGCCCACTCTGCTCTAACTGAATGCTATTTGAGTTTCTGTGTGGGTTAAGCAAGCCAAGAAGTTCCAAGACAAGCTGCAAGACTGCTTGCAAAGATGCAGCAACAGCCACGATCACAGGTCATTTTTTTTCCCCATTGAAAACCTGATTCTAAACATGTTAAAAACCAAGAAGACCAAATTCAACAATAAACTTATTTTCTAAACAGAGCTCCTAGAATGGTTTCCTCCCTACAACTTCACTGATGTAAGGCAAATGAGCTCATTTCTGTTAAATTCAGCCAGGCTGCTACGTACTAGAGAGTGGTAGAGTTTTCAGGCAGCTCTGTTACAGCTGGACAAATTTAGGAGGACTAAATGTGCAGCTCAGTCCCCCCCCGGCAAGTACCCAACCGTTACTGCATTCACCATAGGCTTGACTCTTCTAGCTGAGCTTAAATTGGAGAGAAATAACTCTGTTTTGGTGTTCTGATTTTAGCCAACTCCTTGTCATGGCTCTTTGACATCACTGAACATAGTCAATAGCCAGAAAGGTGGAGACCAGCCACCAGCCGTCCCCTCCTTCTCCAGTTTATAATTAGTCACACTTACAGTCCCTAGAAAAATAATAAACTCCTCTCAATAGTCCAGCCTGGCAGAAGATCCAACCCTTTACAGGCATTTACAGCTACTGCGCAAGAACTTCAACGTCCAAGTTACACCATGGCATGTATTTTAAGATTTCTACCAGCACGGTCACTTTGTTTCCTGTTTTACTGCCTTGCTCCCATGGATCCTCAAAAATGACTGCACTTCAGGTTTGCAACCTTTCTTTTATTTCAGTAAGGTGAAGCCACAGATTTTGCTATGCATGCCAGAAAAATAAGAGCCTCACTAGATCCTGTATTATCTGACTGAAAACACAAACCTAGTATTTCTACCGAATTATTCACTGATTGAGTCAACCCCATGTGGCCAAGAGCATCCTGGCCTGGATCAGCAAAGGGTGGCCAGTGGGACTAACATAGGCAGGACTCCCTCCTAGCTTCAGCTGTCTAGAAATTCAGTACTTGTAGCTGTAAATGACACTTGAGTAGTCTGACACGGATTTCCTACACTCCTCTCAAGCTGACAAAACTCAGAACCCTGGTTTTCAGGCAGCAAGGGGAGGAATGGTGAATCCATCCTACCTGCCCACTACAGAAAACTTCCTGGGGAAGTGCACACAATTCCTGGAAAGCCACCAGCATCACAACTCATCTGATTTGAGGGTAATGGGGAGCATGAGCAGCTTCAACAGTGGCCAACACAGACTGCAGCTGCTCAGTGTTTCTGGAAGTGCCACTTACAGATAATTTTTATTTCCAAACATCACAAGCTTAATGCCAGCCCTATGAAAATACAGCATCAGTGAAGCCAAGCATCTTTTGAAAACTGTATTTAAGATCAGTTACAGAGGAAGTGCTTTGAGTTTCTAAGTTATTTTGCAATTATTTGTAATTATCTGCTACAGCCAGCCCACGGACAAGCTCCTACTGACTCTGTGTGCAGGTACAATCATGGTCTCTTACAGATCACCCACCCTGCCCTGGTACTTGCAGGCAGCACAAGGCATCCCGTTTTCCTTTGTAACAGGATGGCTAAGTTCCTTGCTGTGCACATTGTCCCTTTTCATAGCAATTCCCACCTGATGATGGCTCCTGCTCCACACACTAAACATGCAGGAAAGGCAAGAATAGGAACCACAGGCCACTACTGGGTTAAAATCTAATCACTCAAAATGCTTTACTGCTTCTTGTGCATCAAGCATTGGCACGATTCATCTAATGGACTCTTCCACATTAAGCCTGGATTAGCGCATGCAGTGTTAAATACTGTGTGCCAGAAAACACGTTCAGTACAGGTCAGCAGGCAGTACCAGCAGCCTTTTTCTCATACCCATGAGGTTTAAAGCACATCAGTATTGTCCAGCTCAGAACCTGTAAAGCAGCACTATAGCTAGACATCGTCAACTATTTGATGAGGTAAAAATGAATATACGACCAACATTGCTATTTCAGCTCCAGTTATTATGACTTAGGACATAAGTAACTTCTTCTGGCAGGGCTGGGCACTAGACTGGTATTTTAAGCCCAGTTTTTGCTTCACTTCCCACCAGCACTGTATCAATGTTTATTGACATCTGTTGTGCTATGAGAGAACCAGGAGCACATCCCTGATCCAAGATGAGTGACCAGGTCAACTAAGTCTTGTGAGTCCTGAAAACTCTCTTAGTGCTGCAGTGGTCATACGAACAGTAAGAGCAGCAAATCTCTTATATCCTACATTACACCTGCACCTCTTCATAAGGAATTTGAATCACAAAGATCTGAATGTGAAAAATGATCTCACGAATAGGATGTGAAGCTTCTAAACCAGAAAGAAAATCGAGCCATAAGACAGCAGGGTAAAGATGAGTCAGGAAGAGGGGTGAGCACACAC